AAAAAAAAAAAAGCCACAGCCTGAGAAAGAGGCGAAGGAAACCATGTTCAGGTTTCAATTAGAAAAAGGGCATGAAGGGACATTCGATGAAGAGCTTAGGATAAAAGGGATTTGGTAGGTGACAGTCGCTGAATTCCAGAGGGCACAGGGTTTGGGAGTGCCTGGAGAAGGTGGAGATTGGGCCAGATGAGGCAACGTCCACTGCCACAGGAGCATGGTTCAAGGGCATGATGGGATTAGTCCTATGGTCTCCAAGAGTAAGAAGTATGAATCAGTTCTCTTAAAGTGTTAGCCTCCCAGGACTGGTATCTTAGTCTTTGGAAGGAAGTGAGTGATATTAAGGCTTATGGTAATCATCTTTTTCAGAGCACGTGGGGCTCTCAAGGCTTCCTTTTTAAACCTCTGTGAGTGATGTCACAACTGGGAAAGGGACAGGTCTGCATGGAGCATATGGCTCTATATAGACTTCTGAATTTTTCTGCTGGTGAAAGTCATTGTAATGGCAGGTGGAGGGGAGCAAGGAAGCCAGGACACCATTTGAGATCGTTTTGGTTTTTTTTTTATTTTATTTATTTATTTGATAGAGAAATCACAAGTAGGCAGAAAGGCAGGCAGAAAAGGGGGCGGGGGAAGCAGGCTCCCTGCTGAGCAAAGAGCCCGACTCGGGGCTCGATCCCAGGACCCTGAGACCATGACCTGAGCCGAAGGCAGAGGCTTAACCCATTGAGCCACCCAGGTGCTCACCATTTGAGATTTTAACAGAAGGCTTGAATAGAGGCAGCCATGATGAGGATCCATTGTAGAGACACAGGGATGGTGAGACTCCTGTGGACCCAGAATGCTTGTGGAATTTTTTTTCCCATTATGATGTTCTCTTCTTGAGCACAGGTCTCCTTCACAAGTGGGGCCAAGGCTAGAACTACAGCCTACAATTATCAATTATAACCTTGAAATTAAGACTGTAGTTGAAGGTATTTCCAAACTCTTACATGAGTCTCTAGTCTCAGGTAAATCTGAATTCTCATGATCACAGAAATATTTTATTCTCATACTCTCCAACTATATCTTCACAATTATTCAAACTAAGTAATCTCAAGATGACACAGGTTATCCACAAACTATGAGTGCCGAATTGATCTCCTATGGAAAAAGAACACAACTATTACATTGACTGGTGACTCTTTTCCTATACTTGATGGTTATTGACATGAAAGTGACATAGAGAGGCAACATAAAGAAAGAAAAAAAAACTGATCAATATGGGTATTGATTGTTTTATATACATTTTGCATTAATTTTTTTCCAACAGCCATATGAAGTGGTTATTTCCTACTAATTACAGAGATGAAGAAATAGATTATCAGAGATGTTTGAAAATTTCCCCAAGGAGATGTCAGAAAAGCAGCAGAGCTGAGATTAAAATCTGGAGTTATCTAACCTGAAAACATTTATTCTTTTAACCACATAAGAACCAAGAATGCTGGCTAAAGCAGCTGGTGTCCCCTTACCAAATAACCAAGCAATCAGTTTACAGTTACAGATTATTTACCCTGGGCAGAGTTCTGTGCTGGGATCTATGGGAAACACACAGATAAATAAGGCACAGTCCCTATTCTCCAGTCTGAACAAGCTGTTTGGCAAGATAACCTGTTTGCAGAGAGGTGAAAAGAGTTAAATAACCCCAGAGGACAAGAATGTAACCATTGTCCCTGCTTCAAGAATCAAAGTATCAAATTCTGTGATTTCACTGTGGGCTGAAAGCTTCACATACATGGTTGCCTTTGCTCAAGTGAAAGAAAATGTCATGTAAAGTTAATGTAACAACACCAATTTTCTTTCTCATTGTGAGTATTTTAAAAAATCGGAAATTGATAATATTTCAGTACATTTCTCTTTTTTGTCTTTTCAAAACACTTCACTTTAGTTTTGTTTTTACAAAATTGAGTTCTTGCTGCATATATTGTTTTTCATCCTCTTTTTAAATTAAACATGATAATATAAGAAATTTCCCACGTTAAAGGAAGTTCTTTATATACATAAGGGTTAATGGCATTATAATTAGGATAGAAAGGATCTGAAGACAGGGAAGGGACCTTCAGGCACAGACGGCAACATAATCTGAGATGAAGATTCACTTTGGACCAAGTCAGCATTGGCAAGAATTTGGTTCCAAATGATCCTGGAGATAAAGGGGTTAATCAGAGGATTGGGCAGAGACCACATCCCGAAACCTGCCACCTGATCCCTGTCCCTTTACAAAGAACTGCTCTTCAGGTCAAGCCAGTGGAGGTCAAAGGAAGGACACTGGAGCATCCAGCATGAGCATTGAAGAATCCAAAGCAGATTTGTTTACTAAGCGGAAAGGGATTCACTGAAACAGACCGGATCAAAAGGGTTTTTCTTTACAAACTGGTCCCTGACCCTCGCCTTTAGCAAAGGTTCCCACTTTTCTTGGCAGGCTTTTACTGCTCTAAAGCCAACTACCACCGCGCTGGCAGGGAGCATATCCTCACCGGTTGTGCGAGCCTGGTGGCTAAGGTCAAACGTGCCATTTTAGAACGGAAGTTTGGGGACAGACCAATAAAGCAGCAGTTTTATCGAAAACTTTGATGATTTTTACAGCGTTCTTTTTGAAAAAAGGTGGTAGCTCGGTTAAAATTGGACATTGTAGTACAGACGCAGCAATTTGAGGAATTCAGCTGCTTGAGAACTCCCGCCCCCACTACGGAGCGGAAGCTTTTGTGCTAAATATGACCCCACTTACCGCCGAGGTTGGTGGAGGAGCAGGACTCTCTGGGGTATCTTATTTTTCCATAAATCATTATTCTTTTCTTCAAACTCTGAGCACTTACTGAGTCTGAGCTCTCATGAATCTTGTTGAGCACGATTTTGGAGATTTTCCTTCCTTTTGAAATTGTGCATTGTTGGAGTTGAATACACACGCAAGATGCTTGGCATTGCCAAAGAGGACTTTTTTTTACTCAAAAGAGCCAAAGCGTGTGTAAAATTAAATAGCCAGAAATTAAATGCAATTCCTAAAGTTGATTTGGTCTAGTGTTATGCATCCTACTATACCAAACAAAAGTTAGAAATATAATCTTATCTGTATCATTTTTGCCTTTTATTATTTTATTATTTTTGTCTTGTGTTTGAAATTTTTTTAACTTTTTTTGTTCCCATAGAATATTCTGAGAGTTCACTTTCTTTTTTTTTTTTTTAAGATTCATTTATTTATTTTAGAGAGAGACAGAGACAGAGAGAACCCTTGCAGGTGGGCAGAGGGAGAGAGAGACAGAGAGAGAAAATCTCAAGCAGATCCCCTGCTGAACTTATAGCCCAAAGTGGGGTTTGATCCCACAACCCAGATATCATGACCTGACTTGAGCCTAAATAAAGTATCGGATGCTCAACTGACTGAGCCACTCAGGCACCCTCCAAAATTTAACTTTCTAAAGTTGGCTGACTAAAAGACTCACTGTTAATTTAGATCTCACCTGTCCACAATTGAAATTTCTTAGTATTTGCTTTTTTGATCATAAAATGAACAGTCATCACCATTGTCATTGATTTTTGCAGTAATTTACTATTGTAACAATAAATGTATATTTATCCTTCAGTTGCATTACAGAATTCTAATGTGTGAAGCAGGGAAGGAAACTCTACCAACTGCAGCAAGAACGCTTGCATATACTTAAAAGAAAATATTCAAATGTTTACAATATATCTGAATGACTTGCCTTGATTAAATACTGATCACAAAAGATGGTTTAAGTCATGGGGCCAGTGATTATGGGTGAGTTTAGGGATGCAAGACATGCTGCTGAAATAGGTATTTGACTACTTAGTCATTTCTCTAAACTTGAAGCATAAATGAATGCAAATTCAAGTAGATGCCATGGAAAGGATTTAGTCAGAAAGTGTGGTTTTGAAACCGAGCTTTGATACTTTAGCTCTATATGTATTTATTTAGTATCTATTCTGTGCTGGGAATTCAGTCAAATACTGGAGACAGATTGATGAGTGAGAAGGAGGCCCTCTTTCTTAATGTCCTGATAATCTGGGGAGCTGCAACAGTTTACTCCTCTGCTCTAAGCTTCTGTCCCCTCCTCTTACCCTGCAAGCTTCATAATGATATTAACAAAGGTTAAATGAGAAAATGGGGGTGGTCAATATTTTCTTGAGCCGTATGCATAATATATTTATTAATATTCTAACTGTCCCAACCATCCTATCGGTTAGATGGTCTAGCTTACTAATCACAGGAATATGCTTGGAGTCCAGTGCCTGGTTTGAGTGCTCGTTATTGGGTTGTCTTGGGTATGCAACCCCTCTGCTTTTCCAATTTACAATGAAATTGTGGCAGTTAGATTGCTTCCTTTGTTGGCAATTATTAGGTAATGGATGCATAGAATTCAGCATAGATTCTAGCACATCATAAGTACTCACTGAGGTCAACAGTAATTACCACTCAGTACAATTTATACCCAACTAAGAAATAAGAGAATGTAGGAAGATTATATCATTTACACAAGGCCACCCAACAAGTTGCAGAGGGGAGACTCATCCAGGTTGACCTGTTGCAAAGTCCTTATTTCTTACATTTTGGGTTCTCTGAAAATATTTTTATAGATGTAACTGTTGATAAACTTCAAGGATACTGATTATGTTAATCAACACTTTCGATCTTTCTTCCTGGCTGGAGTGCCTTCCCAGTCCACAATTTCTTTGCTCTCCGTCCACATCGCCAACCACCCAATTGGATTCACCAGAGGGTGGATGTGGCCTGACAACAGGTGAGGCCACATTAGTCCCCAGTCTCCAGCTGCCGCTCCACTGAGAGGGAACCATTCTTCCTCACTGAGACTGGGAACTCTGATCAGATGGGTGAGCCAAGTTCCGGAAGACTGCGGTGGCCTACGAGCGCTCTGGCTTCTCCTTCTCACTGAATCAAGCCAGAAACCGGGCTTGTGGGGTCTGATTTGTTTGTCTTCATGTTTTAGTTTACCGAACTGCTCTCTCACAATGGCGGAGAGGTCACATGGTTCCGGCAACTCCCAAGGAGGCCAAGAAAAGAGCAGGAGAGAGATCCTGAGGTCCACCAAGAGGGTGTGGGCTCCCCTAGATGAGCAGCTGCCTCCTGGCTCTGAGGAGGAAAGCCAGAGTGTCACCATCCCCACACTGGGTGAGAACAGGCCCTCAGGGCTATTAAAAACATTCTGCTGCGGGTGCTGAGGGTTGTGGGGGCTTGGCTGGGGACAGATGATTCTGGAACAAACACTTGTCTTTGAAGATACCAGTGTTCCTGGCAGGAGGCTACAAACTTCTATGAAATGGGCACTTCTGACTTCCACCCACACACATTTAAAACACACATCTTCTTGATGGAAATAGACCAACTTCTCCCTTTCTACTCCAAGGTCCCCTCATCTCAAGTTCCTCAGGACCCTGAAGGGGCACATGGAATCCGTGCCAGAGACATGACGCTTCCTTCAGAACATCAAACATTCTATTGAAAGGCTCTTTTTGCTGGGTCTTGCATGAAGCGTCCATAATAATTTTAATAGTTCAAAGAGTCGTAAGTAGGAAAACACTTTTCCCTCCGCAGTGATATAACTGATGGTATTTCTTCTTTGCCCACCACCCAATTCATTCTACCTCTCTAGAGTCCCTAAATTGAAAAATAAGCACCTTGCATGCCTACTTGGCCTTTCTGGTTCACCAGACCCCTTGTGAGGGGCTAAGTCAGGTACTTCACTGTTCGGTGGGATAAAGTCAAAGAAAATCAGCCCAGAGTAGCCTGTAGCCAACCAGAAAGGAAAGAAATATTTATTGGGAAATACTGCTTTTCTATCCTCTCCTTTTTGCCCTTCGACTATTGGTTAAGCCAGTGACAAAGATCCACCTTAAAAGACTTTAACACAGGGTGCCTTTGGCAATCCTGGGACTGTAGTGCAATTTGTCCCTGGAATGAATGCAAATTTGGTTTAGAACCTGGCAGAGAACTCCTTGCAAATACACATCACTGGCTATAGCTGCCTTAGGTAAACGTTGTGATTCAATAAGGAGAGGGTCCATGGTGATCTATATCCGACAAGAGAAAGACAAAAGTCTGGTATGCTTTTTCACTCTTCATGTTCACACTAAGGTAATTTAAAAATTATTCTGACATCTGTTGTACTTCGGTGTTATTCTTTTTCCTTTTCACACTTTCTCTTTCTTTCTTTCTTTCTTTCTTTCTTTCTTCTCTCTTTCTGTTTTGATGTCAGTCATTTGGCAAGTTTATACTTCATTCTCAGGAAAGACTGATTATGGAAAGCAGGAAGTTTTGCCTTGGGAAAATAACTGAATATGCTTCTAGAACATGTGCCTAACTATGTAGGAAATAGAGCTATGGGTGGTGGCTGGATAATGGGGTAGCGTTATTTTAGCTGGTGTGCTTTGATTGATGGTCTGTTTCTTTCCCCTTCATAGAAGATTCCAAACAAGCAAGTATTCAGCAGTGGCTGGACTCTGGATTCTTGTAAGTGTTTCTTCGTGCCTTTATACATATCTCTTGCAAAAATCTGTGAAAACAATGTGGGTAACTCTTCTGGGGCAAGGTGAGACAGGCCTACCTTTTCATTTTAACTGAGTGTATGAAGGATCTCTCTATTATTGCAAAAGTTATATATCAATTTGAAAGTACTCAAGAGAATACTGTTCCAGTCCCTGGCTGTTGATTGCTTTTAAAAAGTACCCCCATAATAAAGCCTAGCTTTGCATTTACTCTCATCTGTTTAATTAAAATGCAATTTAGTATAATTGAGTTGTACACATTGTTTGACTCTCAATATTTTTGTTTCTTTATAGGGTCTCTGTAAATGAAAACTTTCAGCAAGTCATCGACCACACTGGTAAGACAAGAGAACCAGAAGCATTTAGGCTTTGTGGACCTGAGTAAAATTATTAAAACATTTATGTGAATAAATCTTCTTAAAATGAGAATTATCAGAGCTTTCTAGAAATGTAATGGATCTCAAAAACCATCCAGCTCAATTGCTTTGTTTGATATATAAATCAGAGTCTCAGGAAGGATAGGGGGTCATCAGCAGCCTGTGGGGCTGCAAACCAGGCCTCCTGCCACATCATTATCTCAGACTCTACCAGAAAACACACTGGGTTCTATGAAGACATTTTGCAAGGATGTAATTATGGAAATGCAATTGTCTAACTTTTCCTCTCACTGTATGGTACTTTTATGTCTAAATCTAGTTTCTTTCTATTCTCCAGTCTCAAAATTATATCCTCCCTTTCTAATGGTGCATTTGTTCTCAAAAAGAACAGATGACTGAATTCTATGGCAAACAGTGGAAGTATGTATTTCTGACGCAGAGAATGTATCACACTTGTTACACTGAGATTTGATAAGAATATTATAAAAAGAAAAAGAAATTAATTGCAGATCTCACAGTTCCCACATTCTTTAAAGAAAATACTGTATTTCATAGAAATACAATTATAAGACACACTCACAGTGCCCCCTACCCCTACCCTGGCTGGCTTAGTTGGTGGAACATGTGACACTTGATCTTGTGGTTGTGAGTTTGAGCCTCACCTTGGGTGTAGAGAGTACTTAAAAATGAAAGGAAAAGAGAGAGAGAAAGGAAGGAAGGAAGGAAAGAAGGAAGGAAGGAAGAAAAATACATTCACATATTAAGTACTACTCAGGAAAATGAAACAGCAAGCCCTGGCAATTATAAATGAAAGGCAACACTGACTACAAGACACTTCCTAATTTCATAGATGTTAAAATGTGACAAAATGCGTGTTTTAAAACTGAGGAAACACCATAAATAATGTATGTAAAAAAATGACATAAATTAGGAGTTTAATGATTAGAGGGGAAAACTATTAGTCTACTGGTTACTTACTTGGCTGGTTTTAATTATTTCACTTCCTTCACTGACATCTTAAATTAAGATTGACCACTGGCTACAAACTAGCTTAAATTTAGACTTTTTTTTTTTTTTACTGAAAATAAAAACAAAAAACCAAGTATATCATTGAAATTTCCTCTTTCTCCAAGCTTCTTTATTTTTTTTTAAATATAAAATTTCCACGATCCCCAAATCTCTGAAGATGTTTGCCAATAAACTGAATTCTCTATTTATAGTAGTAGAGAATCAAGAAAAGGCAAGAACTTGGGGTGCCTGGCTGGCTTCATTGGTAGAGCATGTGACTTGATCTTGGGGTTGTGAGTTCTAGGCCCACACTGGGTATTTATTACTTAAAAATAAAATCTTGAAAAAGAAAGAAAGGAAGGAAGAAAGAAAGGAAAGGAAAGGAAAGGAAAGGAAAGGAAAGGAAAGGAAAGGAAAGGAAAAGAAAGGAAAGGAAAAGGGAAAAAGAAGGGAAGGGAAGGGAAAGGAAGACAAGGACTTGAGAAATGTAGCCAGGATGAGATGTCAGATCCCCCTGATGTTTCATCTTGCCCAGGGCATGGTGGGAGGCCTGGTACTAACTCTGGGGTTGTCAGTAACTGTATTATTAAAAGCTTCACTTCCCAGAAAGAGACACCATGAGACACCATGGTCTTTCCACCTCTGAATCAAGTCGATGAAGTGTAAAGGCACAGACAGGAGGTGCAAAGCTGGAGGAAAGAAGGGCTAGCCCAGCAGAAATGCACAGTTCCCACTTGCCAGGTCCTTTATCTTCAGCGAGGGTTTTAATAATAATGGAGTAGCCTCTTACAAGTTTAATTGAGCCTTCACTTTTACAAAGCTCTTTATGATCTATCATATTTTAAACTCAGTAACCTGTGTGGGATCAAGGCTGGTATTCATCTGAGCTTTGCAGATGAAGATTCTGGGCCACAGAGTGATCAAGCACAGTGACTTGGGGGCCCAGCCGGTTAGAAGGGGGCAGAGGAACTCGAAGCCCAGCGTCCTATCAGCCCTCTGCGTGCTGGTCACAGCCACTATGAGACCAATAAATGAGGAGTTCAGAGAAGCCAGCGGTCATACTGAAAACATGTGGAAGCTAGAACAGGACAAGCTGGTTGTGGTGAGGATGGCAAGGAGAAAAACTGTGGTGAGATGAAAAGAAACTGAAGAGAAGAGAAAAGAGGGGTCACGACCTGAGGGAAAATCCCAGAACAACACGTGCAATCCTAGCATGACCCAGAGTGGTACATTCGTTCCTAGGGACGCCGTACCAAATTACCACTGACTTGGTGGCTTTGAACAGAAATTTATTCTCTCACAGTTCTGGAGGCTGGAAGTCTGAAATCAAGGTGTGGTGATAAGTTCATTCACTCTCTGAAGGGTCTAGAGAAGAATCCTCCCTTGCCTCTTCCTAGCGGCAGGTGGCTCCCGGAAATTCTGGGCATTCCTTGGCTTGTGGTGACAGTCCTCCGTTCTCTGCCTCCATCTCCACACAGCTGCTTCTCCCTGTGGGGGGAAAGTGTTTGTCTTTTCATAAGGACATAAGACCCACCCTAATCCAGTATGACCTCACCTTTACTAATTATATCTACAAAAACCCTATTTCTAAATAAAAGACACATTCTAAAATGAGATTTCAGGGGTGCCTGGGTGGCTCAGTCAGTTAAGCATCTGCCTTCAACTCAAGTCATGATCTCGGGGTCCTGGGATCGAGTCCCACATCAGGCTTCCTGCTTGGAGGGGAGTCTGCTTCTCTCTCTGCCCCTTACCCCACTTGTGCGCTCTCTCTCTCTCTCTTCTCTCAAAAAAAAATAAATAAAATCTTAAAAAATTTTTTTAAAAATAAAATAAGATTTCTGATACAGAAGTTTGATTCAACCCAGTACAAGTAGAATGTATTCTAAGGCTGGTTTTCCTCATTGATCATGCCTGAGCCCTTCATACAATGAAGCAGCAACCAGATCCAAGTGGCTGCTCATCTTATAGATGACACAGGGCCCTCTATAGGAAGCATTCTAGTGGCCTCCTGATCTTGGACTGAGTCCCAAATAAAATGGGGAGGGGGTAGTTGACATAAGGCTTTAGGAGTCCTATTGCTGAATTCCCGGTGAGTTTAGAGATGGCCAAGTTGGGGTGTTGGACTTCTATGGTGACTCTGGCTTTCATGCTGCTCTGTGGCCACCTAAAGTCTCATTTTTATTAAACTAGAATCTGGCCCGGGGCGCCTGAGTGGCTCAGTGGGTTAAAGCCTCTGCCTTCGGCTCAGGTCATGATCTCAGGGTCTTGGGATCCAGTCCCGCACCGGGCTCTCTGCTCAACGGGGAGCCTGCTTCCCTCTCTCTCTCTGCCTGCCTCTCTGCCTACTTGATCTCTGTCTGTCAAATAAATAAGTAAAATCCTTAAAAAACAAAAACAAAAAAACAAGCAAAAAAACCAGCAAAAAAACCCTAGAATCTGGCTGGCCCATTTCCCATTGTGCTCAGTACCATTATGCTAGATGAAAGCCTTAACCCTGGCCACTTCAGCATCTTTGTCAGGAGAACTAAGAGGGGAGAGAAAGGAATATGTGTGAAGGGCACACAGCCTAGGTACCTCACCTATATTATCTCATTTACCCAAACCGAGATCTCCCAAGGTAAAAATTACAGTCACTAACTTTTGCAAGCAGAAAAATGAGACTCAGAAAGGTTAAGTAACTTGCCCAAAGTAGGCCAGTGAGTAGGTAAGGGGGTCAAGATTTGAATTTGGATCTGTCTGACTCAGTAGCCACATTGCCTCTCCAGAGGCCCAGGTCATTTACTCTGTGTGCTACGCACGGGAGCCCCCAGCAGGAAAGCAAGGCCTGCATCTATCGCCCTGAGAGGAAAGTCAGAGGGTGAGCATTGTGGCCGAGTTTACTGGCGTGTACTTCTCTCTCCAGGTCATCTGGCTCTGATGCACCTGTCTTCAGAGCCACAACACAGTCCTCCAGAATTTACATTTTTTAGAGTAGAACTAATTTTTTTATGTCAATTGAGTAGTGTCTTTGGAAATGTAAAATGATCATATCTGGAGCTCAAAAAAAAAAAAGGTGCATCAAATAATTCCTCTGAAAAGCCACAAGAAAGTTGGTTGGCTGCTTGCCTCCCATGACTCACTGAAGTATTTTCACAAAGGATGGTGTCTCACTGTCTGTCCTGTCTTCTGACAAATATTGGCCATCTTGGCTGAGTGGTCTGGCAGTCTTCTTAGTATCTCCAGAGCCTTGTCTGCTCAGTGCACATGCGTGACTTACAGGGAAGACCCTTATGGGCATCCTTCCATTTTTTGGCTTTTACATTTCTGAGAACCACCACCCCTGGTGCAGATCAGCTTCTCATATTGTCACCAACAACATAAGCAAACACAAGTTTGACTCTCAGTTTGTGCTCTCTGAGGATCTGTGGACATTCCTATAACCACAAACACAACGGACAGTTGGAACCTCTTTGAGGTCAATTGGGGTGCTAAACGGTACATGGTCATGGATGTGAAGGCCTGTCTTAGGCTGCTGATTCTTCCTAATCCCAGATTCCATATTTGTGTATAAGAAAGCCTAGGGAGAGGAGTTGGTTTTTGACAAGCCCATTTCCACCACCGGGAAACAAATTAGACTTCGACACCTTTGTCTTGTGAGAGTACATTGGAGTTACCCTGCTGGGACAGACACCTACATGAATGCCTGTGTCACTGGGGAGCTTTATAAAATGTGTGCTTGTTTAATAACATAGCCACGCATAACTGTGAGGGGAGAAAAAACAGATCCTATGTTTACAGAAAAAAAAAGCTTTTGTCAAAGATCGCCTTGGATCCATTGATTACTTGGCAGGTGGTTAATTCATATGTCCTTTTGATATTTAGATATTTCTTCTCCAATCCCCAGAGAGGTCCTTGAGCAATAAAGTTATACCTTTCCAGAAGGAATTTATTCAATAAGAACTACAAAATCAAATTCTAAAATCTGTGGCCTATAAGATGAGGTCGATGCAAATCCAGTAGAACATAAGAGATGCTCCTTTAATGCTTATCAAACAAAAGCACCCAGAGCCAAGAACTGTGCCGGTAGAGAGGCACCTGGGTGGCTCAGTCAGTTGAGGATCTGACCTTGATTTCAGCTCAGGTCATGATCTCAGTGTCGTGAGATCAAGCCCCATGTTGGGCTCTCCACTGGGCATGCAGTCTGCTTGGGATTATCTCTCCCTCTGCACACACTGTCTCTCTAAAAAAAGAAAGCACTGTGCTGGTGGAGAATACAAAGATGTAGAATGCATGGCCCCTGCTCTTACATATGTCACTCTGACTTCCCAGGACCGTTGCAATCTTAACATAACTGTGCCCATGTTTCACAAGACCCTCTTGTCTTATCCCCTTTCATTGCCATCCCGATGCTTCATCTTTCTTCATCCAATGCCTCCTCCTGCTTAAAGTCTTTCTTGTTCTGTTCTCCTCTCGCCTTCTTTTGAGCCATGCCTCAGGTCCCCCATTCTCTATAAGGGGCTTCCTGACACCTGCACTAAGAGCCTCAAGTTCTCTTCTGCACACCTGCCACATCCGTGCTGGGTTCTACCCATACGGTACTTGGTCCGTGCTTCCTCAAATTATTAGGGATACGAGCGGCCTCACTAACAAAATTGTAAATCCCGCTGAGGTAGGAACAATCTCTAACACATCTGATTTCCCCAAAGCTAGTCAACAAAAGACCTTCGTACAACTGGTCCATAATGAAGCTGATGTGAGTCAGATTGGGAAATCTTCAAAGAAGAGTGACTTGAGCTAGTCAAAGAGCAATGTGGTTCTGAAAAAAAAAAAAACAAAGAGGCAAAGGAAGACAATGTCACTTGGTTCAAGAAGCTAGAATAAAGGCACAGAATGAAAAGAAAACCAAATGTGTGCAGGAAAGCATATAGAAGGCGGTCAGACTAGAGAAATGGCTTCATGCTGGGGAACAAAGGTGGAAATTCTTCTGGTAAATAGGGTGTTGTCTGGTTGTAAACGCCTTAAAATCCAGAAAGAGAGAACCACACTTGATGTATGACGATCATTTCAGGTTCTAGTCAAAGGAGAGGTAGTCGTTACTGGGGTCTGTGTTAGGAGGATTTCAAGACTGTATCTTTGTTCACCTGAACAGAAGGTCATGAATAATTAGTGATAGTTGCCATAGGTGCAGCGCTGGGGAATTGAACCAGGCGTGTTACACACTTGCCATGTCTATTAGAGTGAGTTATGAATGGTTTCTGAGGAGAAAGATGACAGATTCCGCTGTTTATCTTGGCAAGAGGAAAGAAGGGGCACATCTTGGGAAGACGCTGTTGAGAACTCAGGCTTGAGGTCTCTGGGGCTGGGGCTCCATGCTGGAAGAGAAAGGAGGAGTCAGCTGCATCCGGGAAATAAGCAGCTAGGCGAGCGGAGAAGAGCAGAGTATGGTTGGCTTCAAGGTCTTGAGGCTGAGTGTCAGGGAGAAGGAAGAATCTTTTATTTTGTAAGAGTGTAGATTGAAATCATGAACAAACTGGGAGAAATAAACGCTGCTGAGGGCCTCTGCTCCGCGTCTTGGTCATGCAGGAGTTAAATATACAGAAAGCTGCAGAATGCTATTATTTTAGAGCCCTGTGAAAATGTAATTTGATTAGTCTATTGGACGATATTCCAAAGAACCAAATGTCTTCCATGAATCAGTCAGAAATGCTTAGGAAAACCAAAATAAAAAATGCTTTCTAAGCCAATAAAGGTGCTAATTAGTGCCTTCTGCATATCTCACTACATCTTCCACAGTAATACAGTTTGCAGGGTTAAGTGTGGTGTCTGCTGCCTCAGATGGCAGAAGTCCACCTCACAGTCGGGAGGGCGGCTGGAGACTCAGAACTGGCATTTTAACCCATGCGATGGGATGTAGTAAAGTAAAGCGGAGGACTTTTTTCTCACTTTGATTCTCTTCCAACTCAACCCTTATGAGCCTTGAGCCTTGGGGAGAGGAGGACATTATTATTATTTTTTTTTTCTTTCTTTCTTCTGTCTTTCTTTCTTTCTTTCTTTCTTTCTTTCTTTCCTTTTGCATCATCCATCCACCATTGCTTTTAAAGAGTAAAATCTGGTTTTAAAAACCTACTAAGACTGTCATAGAAGGAAAAAAAAAATTGGAGAAAAATATTGAGACCGAACCATTAGAGACACAAGAAGGAGGTAAGGAGACCCTAGCAGACAAGGCCTTATGGGATGGATACAGGCACACTTCACAGGTGTCTCGCTTTCAGCCTGGAGCACTATGCCTACAGAAGCTTGAGGAAATGCAGGGTACCAGGAACAGTTTGTCTGTCCCGTGGTGGCATTCCCTAGGTGTCAAATTCCTGTGCTCAGAGGCAGCAGACTCAAATGCTCCCGGGAGCCAGGTGGATAACCGCTAATGAACCAAGTGAGTAGGATGGAGACTGCACATGTTTGCTGCACATGTGGCCTCCGATGCATTGCTTTCCGAAGAGATCTGGGCTGACGCTGTCCTATCTTGGAGTTGTAAGGAAATTCTAGGAATCCCAGGACTGGCGAGAACTGGGCCGCCAGCTGGTGCCTCTTGGTTCAGGTTCATCATTGAAAAGGGACAGAGGGAACAAGGACCCAACCCTGACAACCCCAGGAAGTTTATCTTACAAATTAGCAAAGTGGGAAAACAACAACAACAACTGAACTAAACTAAAACCCAACAAACACTCCAACAGGCAAGGAATAATACTTTCATTCTGTCTTGTGAGACTCTCAACTGCTTGGTCCCAGCGCTGGAAAGGCACATCATGGGTTTATGTTTTTCACTCCCTGTGACTCTCAGGCGACAGAGTTCTATTTGTTCCATAGGGCAGACATTCATGGAAACTGCACCCTCGCTACCTTTTAAAACTGTAGTTGTATGTTCTGGGCTTAGTTAAGAACTCACTGTCTGCGCATACCTCATGATATGCTTCAAGTCTTTATCTTTCTAGACCACTGTTCTTGTCCCATTCAGCAGGGTCACTGAGCCTTTGAAAAAACAACTGGAAACTACACATGTTCTTATCTCCACCCTCAAAATTTGGCACTCAGAGGCAAGGTCACAGATACCTAGAGATCTGTTCGTAGTATCCTACCCAGACAAGAACTCTGGCTCTAGACTGAGGAGCCCTTTATTATTTTCAACCTTTTTTTTTTTTTAATGTTTCAATCATTTAGGCTTGTTTTTCTAAAATTTCTCCCCACCTGCATGTATTTCTTACAGCGAAAATTTTATACGTTCTTACGGGAGTGCTGGGTGGCGACATTTCCAGTTTTATACATGTCACACATTCGCACCCAGAAAAAGCCACTGTGAGAGGAAATGAGAAGGCTGGTGAACTTTCGGAGGAACTGGCCCATGTTCTGAAGGTTTCCCTCTGCATACGTCTGCTACCGCAGCATTACATCATGACACAGATCCTGAAGGCTGCCACGGCTCATTCTGGAGCCTCCCAGTACTGAGCTCTTCTAGTCTGTCTTCAGCACCACTAACCAGACAAATGGACTGTCGGCATCGTCTCTCTCACATTTATTTGTGTGCTCAAAATCCATGTCCCGACACATACATATAAACTCCTCTTTCTGGTTTTCAAATAAGCTACGGACATGCTGTTGGCAGTGTGGTGTTTTGAAAAGAAACAACAGCAACAAATAAAAATAAGCTGTGGTATCCTGCTGGCCGTGCGGAATACATTTAATCTCTCTGAGCCTCAGTTTGCTTCTCTGTTAAGTGGGGATTCATAATACCTATTTCATAGATTTGCCGTACGAATTAAAAGGGACGGTGCATGCAACATGCTTAGCCCACTGTCTCCTATAAAGTTAACATTAAATAAATGATACTGTTATTGCTATAATCAATCACCAAGGTGACGATGTATTCCCAGATCTGCTACTTTTGACTGCGTGATCCTGGGCTCATTACTCGACTCCTGTGAGTCTGCTTCCTAATCTGAAAAATCAGGATAGGTCCTAAATTTAAGACTGTCATGAGGATTAGGAGATAGAAATGCGTGGCGGGTGCTGGACAACTGTGGGGTCCTCCGTGTATCCTTTTGCTTGTCCCCACACTCACTCCTTCATCTTGTGGACCTCGAGTGAGTCTTCCAAAATGCTCTATGCTCTCATCAGACTTGCTACAGACACACTTTGTGCTTGGCCACACCTCTTTTCCATCTATCAAATTCTACCCCTTCTTAAAAATCCAAGACACGTACCAGTTTCTCCATGAAACCTTCGCAGGCTACTTCCTTTGCCACCGACTTCCATCTTGACTGAACAAGTACATTTCTTCACGTGGTTGTTACACCATTTAGCCATTAATTACATTCTGTCTTATTCGCTGCAGGGATGCCTTCTACCTCATGCTGATACCATCTCAGATACGGAAATCAATCCTATCTTCATTCAGACGAGGACCAGAAAATCTTCTATCTTAAAGGAAATGAAGCTCCTTATAAGAAATGAGGCTTTGATTAATTCCAATCTTTCTTTGTTACAGTTTCTTTACATGAACAAGAAATGGTGCACATGGCCGTGAAGGACTACATGAGGTAGGTGGTGGGACCCGTGTGGTTTCACTCTAGTATTTTAGAGCCACATCTTTCACAAATGAAATGGAAGTGAGGAGACTTCTTAATACCACCATGGAGCTTGGGATCTTGTCACTGGTTTAGCCACAGCACCTACAATGCTTTCACGACCCTTGAGAGAGATAGAGGTTCTTTCAGTGTCATAAACGGGTGAGCAAATTCAATCAACGAACGCTGGCATGGGGGTGGGGAAGGAATTTAATTAAAACACATGCATGGGGTGCCTGGGTAGTTCATTTGGTTAAGCGACCACCTTCAACTCAGATCATGATCCTGGAGTCCCAGGATCGAGTCCCACATCAGGCTCCCTGCTCAGCAGGGAGTCTGCTTCTCCCTCTGACCCTCTCCTCTCATGTTCTCTCTCTCTTTCTCTCTCTCTCTCAAGTAAATAAATAAAATCTTAAAAAAAAAGAAAAAGAAAACACATGCATAAAAGGCATTTGACTATAAGACAACTGTCCAGAAATACCTGTTCATGAAAGAGGAGCTTTCGTATTCTCACATTGTCAGTGTTGTTCATCACCATGCTCTTCACTGGGCAATAAGACAGTTGACTTCTGAACAACATGGCTTTGAACTGTGTGGGTCCACCTACATGCAGACTTCTTTTCAAATTCAAGTATAATTACCGCACAGTTTTGGTTTTTGGTGTACAATGTAACGACTCACTAATTCTCTACATTTCTCAGTGCTCATCAAGATAAGCATACTCTTAATTCTCTTTCACCCTTCCTGGCACTCACCTGCCCTATATATAAGAGTCTGGGACTTTATGTTTATCTTTTTTTCCTTTGTTTGTTCATTTGTTCTGTGTCTTCAGTTCCACATATGAGTGAAATCACATGGTATTTGTCCTTCTCCAACTGACGTATTTTGCTATGCAGATTTTTTATAAGTAGAATACAGTACTATAAATGTGTTTTCCTTTTGATTTTCTTCATAACGTTCTCTTTTCTCTAGTTACTTTATTGTAAGGACAATTTTTTGTATATGACATATAAAATATGTGCTAGTTGACTCTTCTCAGTAAGGTTTTCGGTCAACAGTAGGTTATTAGTCATTAAGTATCCGCGAGTCCAAACTTATACATAGATTTTTGACTATGGTGGGGGTCAGTGCCCCTAGCCCCCATGTTGTTCAAGGGTCACCTGCGCATAAGATTTCCAATGTTACAGGTAGAAAGCAGTGAGAATCTCTTAATATGAGGGTAGACTAAGTCTCAAGGTGGTGCCTGACAGTGGGGAAAACAGCATTACCTCAAAACTTAATAGCCTTGAGAATTTTTGAGGCCCATCCCAGACACTCTGAGTCAGGGAATCTGGAAGTAGGGTTCAGAAATCTGTGTTTTTGCAAACCCTTCAGATGATTCTGAGAAACATTCTGGTTTAAGAACCACTGGCATAGACTGCGAGCTTTTTGAGGTTGGGAACTCTGCTCCCATGCCTCAGCCACCCTTGCATTTTCAAGATAATCTCAACTCATTGAAGACCAAATATTCAATACTGTCTCCCTGTGAGTCCCACCAATTCACAATCAAAATGCTACTTTATCAGTTTTCCCCTCTTAGCAGATTAGCTATATTTGTTGCCCACAGAATCAGAGAGCCCTAAGGGACCCCAGAAGTCTCTCAGGCAACTTTTTTTGAAGAGGAAATTTTGTTGAAGAGGAAAATGAAAGCCAAGGTCAGTGACTTACTCCTGCTCTCCTGGTTTGCTTAGAACCGTGACTATACAGGGATTCTCCTGGATCCTAGGCCTGCACAGTTTCTGAGTGGCTCTGATGAACGTTACAAAGGGAGGCGTGATCCTCAAACCCAGAATGAAACAGAAATATGGCAGGCTTAATACAAGCTGAGGGGAGGCAATAAATAAAAGGATATCTTCTGCATCTCTTCAGGGCTCCCAGCAAACTCAACCATCTGTTAAAACCAGAGTCTTTATTGTTCAGAAACATATACTTTCTCCACCTTAATGTGGAGAAGCAATTGAACGAAGAGGCAAAAACCAGCTATTCTGACTACCTGTGGGACGGGGACTAAGGCAAATTCAAGACAACTTGGTCTCTTAGGGAAACTTGATATCTACATGGTGTTCTTTACTTAATTCCAATCTCGTGCCTCCTGGCTGTTATGACTGATGAGGATGGATGTGTCGATGCTATATCCGAGCTCTGTAACACTGAACTATGTGACAACAGGGTTTCATTCTGTTTGGAAGTGCTTCCAAAGGACTTGCAAGGCAGGCCTCTTTGGATAGAGTGATACTTTTTTTTGTGGTAGTAGAAGAGTTGGTTACTATTGCATATGGATGGCCCCTGGAGCCCGGGAGACAGCACTGAAAGATTGTGAACCGTGAAATATGGAACCCTTCACCATTATGGGAATTAAGACAGAGTCATGTCAGTGACAGCTCGCCGTACCTCTTTCACCACACAATTTTAACTTCTTCAGAAAGTTGGTGCCTAGCAGAGCTCTGTTCCTGAAAGGTTCCCCAATGATTTGCCATCTGTCAAAAGTGAGACATTCTGTCACCTTTATAATGAGCACTAGCGGGCACCTAACACTTAAATTCTCACACCTTCTGTAACAAGACACTCTTGGAAAGAGGAGCAGCTTCTCCACTGCATGCTCTCTCTTCCCCAAAGGTGTGGCCATTATGGGATTATTAGAAATGAGGAGGAAATGCAAATGTTCGCCCTGGAAGGGAAAGATTCACAATGATCTCCCAGGGGACTATCTAAATCAACACATCTCATCGTTGGTATTTTCCCCGACTGTAGATCTCTGCATCCGTTTTCAGAAACTCCCACCCTTTCCAGAGGGACCAGTTTCAACTCTTGCCATTCTGCTGCAAGTCTCCCACAAAGGTATGTGATTTCCAGGCACTTGTCAACCAGAGAAATCATTCGGTGTGGCAGTGGATTTTATGAAATTATAAATAGGCCCTTGAGAAATAACTTGCTGAATGAACAGATGAGAGAATGAATAAAGGATTTTCAAAATTCCAACTTGCAAGAACAAGGTAAAAGATTCAGTGACATCGAACTAAATATCTGTCCATGGGGAGATGGCCAAACAGACCATTGTCCAACCCATTTTATGGAATTCTATACAATGATAAAAGGAATAGGCAGAGAGAACTATATACATTAACTTAGAACAATCTTTGAGTCATATTTTTCAGAGGAAAAAAGCAAGATGTGGAAAGATACATAGAGTATGCTACTATTTATAGAGTGAAGCAGTGACAACTAAAAAGTATATATGTAACAGAAAAATATCTAGAAAGATAAATATAAATTTAGCAGGAAAGGAGTCAGGATTGATAGGTGTAATGGCTAAGGGGAAAGAGAGCTTTATGTATAATATAATAATTTTTTAACAAGGTGAATATATGTATGTGTTTCTTGCATAATTAAATATAAATAAGAAGAGTTAATGATATTAAAAATATGTTTAGTGACAAATCAATCAATAAATACATTCTTAGACATGAGGTTGTAAGCCTCTGAAAGGCAGAACTATGCCCTGTTCCTTTTTGTGCCATGGGTGACTAACAGAGAGCATAGAATGTGATAAATGTTTAATAAATATTTGTATAAATGGGCAGGATAAAAATGTGTACAATTAGGTCAATATGATCACAGATTAAACCTTTCAGATGCAATTTAGACTTCTTGCAAGAATTTTTTTCTCCCTTGAAACTTTTTTATGTTAAGATATCAAGGGATGGGGGGAGGGGGGCAGGGAGAGGGTGGTGGGGTTATGGACATTGGGGAGGGTATGTGCTATGGTGAGTGTTGTGAAGTGTGTAAACCTGGCGATTCACAGACCTGTACCCTTGGGGCTAATTATATATTATATGTTTATTAAAAAAATAATAATAATTAAAAATTAAAAAAAGATATCAAGGGATTGGTACCCCTGTTCTCCAGTTATTCCAATGATTAGGATATCCAACCTCAGCCATTTAAGCCCTCCAGTGAGAGTTTTTGGCTTGTCTTTTCTTCCTTGATCGAATCGGGAGGCAAAGCACCCTATCTCTATGTTACATAAGAAAGTGTGAACGTGATGTTGGGTAATGTGTGGTAACTGGGACTGCCCAGGGAGACTACAGGTGACTGTTGCTCAATGTGTGAATGGCTAAATAAATGAATTGTAATTAATCCAATTTAAATGATGAAGTCATGAAAGTAAATCACCCAAACTATCTCAAATAAACTCCTTAGGGTTGCGTGGAAAGTATAGGCAAACAGGGACTTGCAACAAAAGAGATAAGCAAACCTAGGAAAACCTTATCAAAAGTTCTGCTTCCCATACGGTCCATGAGTTCTAAAAGGTCAAGAGCACAGTCACCAAGGAGAAGGTCAATAATTGGGAAGAGTTGGTAGACATAAATAGAATTTCCAGATAACCAAAGTTTATTATTTTAATAATAATAAACTGAGTCAAACTAAGCCAAAACTAAATCAAACGAAGCCAAAACTGAGTCAAACAATTTGAAGAAACCATGTCTTATTTCTCACCCATGTCCAAAAAAAAAAAACCCAAAAAACAAAAAAACAGAACATATTTTAATTCTACTTTGGGACTGAAAATCATTCCTTGTATCAGTCCTTGAAGTCTGCATTTCGCACTATGGTCAGCAGATCTGTGTAGCTGATGAGGCTCCCAGATTGATTCTCTTTAAAAACATTCTTTTTTGAGTTCCACTCCCTACAGGTTTTTGTGTTTTTTTTTTTTCTTCTGTTTCCTATTGCCATAAACTACCATTTCTTTGTGGTTATCAGTGTATCGCTTCTGGCTTCTGACCCACAATCTCCCTGCCCTACCTAATGTAACATTTGCCTATTATGAAATGGAAAGTCAGGCAAATAAACTCATGGCTCTTGCACAGGAAGTACAGACAAGCAGTCCCTGAGTGGAAGTGATGGACTGTCCCTTAAATAAGTACGTATGAGCTCTGGTAGACACACCATCTTGTTGTCTATTTAGATTCCTCTTTACTCAGTTTCTGGAAGACGGGGGCAGGAGTGGGGGCAGGAAGGGCAGGTGACTAGAAAAAAGACCAGATTTTGTTAAGCGAACTGTTACCGGATAAAGATATTCATATTTTTACCACAGCATTCCTGAATGGCTGGAATTTTGGGAAGAAGATCCGGTGGAGATTCTCTTGGATCTGGGGTTTGGTGCAGATGAGCCCGACACCTGCACACAAGTCCCAGCCAGATTCCTGGGTTGTAGTTCAGCCGCCAGAGGAATCAACATCCGGGTCTTCCTTGAAGCTCAAAAGCAGCGAATGAACATTGAGAACCCTGACTTGTACAGTAAGTGGGGGCTGCTTGGTTTCCGAATCTCAGCAAGGGGGCTGAGTGTCCAGATGAGAGCCACAGTATCAGGAGGAACTCTCTGGAAAATGTGTGCTGTAGCAATCGCCCCTCTCTTGCAGCAGCCTAGAACAGAGAAGTGTCTGCTGCAGGTTCATGTGAGTGTTTTGGGGAAAGGAAATATCTCCATGTTGTCCTCCTATGTGGACTTGGCCCTGTCATCTGGAATGTCACTGGTTGCAATAACAAAGAAAAGGTAGAAATGAAGAGTCATACTTGTCTCTTACCTCTTTCTGCTCAGAATTTACCCAGTGATATCATTGTCAGATTTATTTGTCCATAATCAGTCACATGGCCACACTTAACTCTAAAGGGTTAAGAATGTGCCATCTCACCATATGTCCAGGAAAAAAAAAAAAAAGCCATACCACTGAACAGCACTAGTATATACCATAATCACATACCCCAGGGGCAGAGGAACCAGGAGCTGACAAATCTTATCACCAGTCACAAGGTAAAACCTTAATTTCCTCTTGTCTGAGGCTAGGAACATTTCTTATTCCACTATGAGCTATAAGTGGTAGGTGTGAAACTGTCACATCTCCAGATTTGTGGACTAACTCTGCCTAACCCTCTTCATTATCATGCATGCTGCTATTTTTTTTTCCCCCAACTGGTGGTCAATGGAATACTTTTCTCTAGGAGATTACCAGAATGTTCTTTGGAGCGTTTGTACTATGCTCAAGTAACTTGGGGGAAAGATACCTGGCAGTTGAACAGGTTTATTTACTTCAGAATTTGCTTAATATGCCCAAGTGCACTCTCAATCTCCTAGAGAAGATACCAGGCAGCATTTTCAAAATTATTTAAATACGAAACCCCCTCTTGGAGGAGCATTGAAGAGCATCTCTTCCATGAGATAGAGTTAGCAGAATTCTGGACTGGAGAAAATGCCAAAATTCTGTTTCTGAAATACATTCTTTAAATAAATTCATGAAAGTCAAGTGAGATAAAGTGTTTTTCTCAAACAAATATCTCAGATTTTTCATTTTAGTCTCTGTTTCCCCATTTTCATGTGGGTGAAATGGGTCTCAAATCTCAGCTGCAATTTTTTAAAAAAGAGTATATATATATCCCCGAAGGTGTTGCAATGCCATGTTTCTTTACCTTTTAGAGGAAATTAGTATCCTTTGTGGTCTCGTCCTCCAAGCCGTAGGGAGATGCAAGTTCTTAGATCAATTCTTTTTTTGGAGACAATAACAACACTTCTTGTTATTTGGGGAGTGTATGACCTGAGCTGTGAAGTAAACATTTTGCAGTTGAAATTGACACACGGATTATAGAAGACCCCAGACATGGTCCCTAGTCTTGTGATTGTGCCCCTACTCTTATTTCCACCATCAACACTGTGCTAATAATGCACACTAACTGTTCTCACTGAACACTTACCTGGACACTTTTGATTCAAGAAAACTGAGATGGTCAAATGTAAAACAAGCAATAATAAAATTAGTTGATTCTTCTAGAAACAGAAGGGAAAGTATGTCTCATTCAGAGTCACTAAAATAGCTTCAAATTCAAAGGGATGACAATCAATTGGTTCATTGCTCAATCTCCCCAAAGGCAAAAACAAACAAACAAGAAACAAAACAAAACAAAACAAAACAAAAAACTCCCATACATCTAATACCACAAGATGGTGTTCTTTGAATTAACTTAACCAGTTAAATGGATAGATTTTATCTTGGTCTAAGTATAAAAATTCTGCTATGGGATGGATGTTAAGACAATCATAGAAGTACAATTATGATTCAGTCATACCCTGGGGCTCACAAAAAAAAGATTTAGTTTCAACTAAAAAGATTGCATTCTGAAAATGCAATCAGAATGCTTCTAAAAGTACCCAGAACCTAAGAGTTCCTCTTGGTCTTAAAAGAATGTCATGATCTTCTGCAAAAAGTCTATCACAGTTTTTAAAGTAGAAGGATCAGTAGTCACTGTCCCCCTTTCTGGTGAAGGGAGCAGGTAGGTGGAAGGATATGCTCATGGGAAAGTCAGTAGCATTGCTCTGCTGGTGCAAACAACAGAACAGAGGCCAGCGTCCTTACCCACCAACATGACCCTTGACCACTGTTGAGCTGTGCAACCTGGCATGCTATCACTGGGCTTGAGAAAAAGCCTGTGTAATAAAAGCAAAATGTTTTTTTTTCCATCATTTTGGTTTTATTATCTGGAGATACTAAAGCTGTTTTTCACTATTTTCTCTCAAAGTGGCAATGTGTCCCACTAGCTGCACTGGGTCCCATCCATATGATAATGAAGTCAAAATTTGCGTATTGCCTAAATGAGCCATCCAGAAAGACTTACAAGTTGAAGAGCTGGTTCATGTAAAAAGGCAAATGGATTTTCACATTAATGGTTGTTTTCTTTTGGACGGTTGAGGACAATATATTCCTGTCCTGAGACTTACACATTTATAACTCTAACTACTGGTATTTGTACAACATTGTGCTTTCTACACAGATGTGAGGGACACATAGATGGGTATTATTACCCTCTTTCTCCAGATGAGGAAACTGACCATTTATTATATGCTTGGCACAGGTGCTAGGCACCATATTTCTATTAATTCATTTACTCTGACATCACACTTGCAGTGATTGGTTGACCTGGGATTTGGAACCAGGCCTTCTGACTCCATATTCCATGATCTTTGCAAACTCTAAGTGACAGTGTAGGTGGAGATGATGGAGCTGATGATTAGGATATCTACTACCTAAATCCATGGAGGAATATGTAAATTCACCCCATATGAAAGAGCTAGGTTCATTCTTTGTCATTTAGTTTAATATACAAGATTCAGATTCATCCTCACCTATAGTTTTTATGAATTCACACATAAAAACTACAGGCATATATGAATTTAAATATTTATATTTATATTTATATTTAAATATAAGAGGTGTTCTCTTTCTGCATGACACAACAGCATCTCCTTATGTTGGGGAATCACCTCCATAATAACCAGTGGCATGTATTGAGAAAAAGTTCAAGAGCTTCAAGAACTTGTAGTCCATCCGACCTTGAAAATCACATATGTCACCAACTTTTTCAATTTTGACTACATTTATGCAGTTTCATGGAAAGGACCCAGTCTAAAAATTCTATGTTCGTTGTATTGTTCAGGTCGTTTCCAACAGCTGGAGATCCTGGACCATGTAGCCGATGCCTTCTCATCTTTGCTGAATAATGTTAACATCCTGCAGAACAAAGATGAAGAGGAAGACAGAGGGGAAAATGTGCAAAGAACCTCAGTGAGTGAAGCCAATGGACATCAGAAGAGAATGGGTAAACTTTTCAAGAGAACTTCAAAGCAGAGCATTAAGAGAGATTATAGCCCAGAAGCACCAGAGTCACTGAAGATGAGGGGCAAATTTTCCATCACCTCTGCAAAATCAGGAGGGTGTGGAGCAGAGTTACCAGTTGTGACAAACAACCATGACCAAAGCCATTTGTTTCCTTTGGCAGAACACTTGTCTCTCCAAGCCTGCAATGATTTGGTGCCCTGTCATGCTCCCCAAGCTCTTGTGAGCAAACAATGGCCTCGCTCATCCCCATTGGCTAAGAGGGCTCCTCTTTCCTGTACATCTGAGGGCTCAGTCAAGGACAGAACTGAAAAGGTACACTCCATTCAAACTAACAAGCTCAAGAGCTTGTCTCATCTTGCAAGAGAAGCACTGGACTCCTTTGAATTGGAAGAGGTCAGTGTTATACCGACGCGTTCAACTTCTAAGGGAACAACCCTCCCCAAGGCATTTTCTGCCTACTACATTCAGTTGACCCCTTAATCTTTTAACTTCCTCAGGGTTATATATTATTGGTCCAAACTCCTGTTCTTGTTTTGTTTTGTTTTTTTTGTCTAGGACATTTAAGGCCATTCTAGCTTGCTTCCATCCACTCTCTAACTTCCCTTGTTTCACCATCTTAGAGGGTCAGTTCAGCTACTTCCCACTCAATGAAATTGCCCACCACTTCCACTCTGGGTTCTCACAGCCTTGGTAGGGAGCATTTGTATAACAGACTGTACATGTGTGTCTATGATATCTCCCTTGCTGGTCTGTCAGCTCCCCAAGGACAAGGTTTTGGCCTTAAGATGTGTCTTGGAAATAGTTTCCCCATGATGCCTCGTGCAGGGTCTTGGACAAAGAAGTAGGGACTTGGGTTTGGTTTTGATTTTACAGGACTAGTATTTTATTTGTTTGCTTGCTTTGGAATTTATTGATAGTCACATAACTTGACCTCCCTTGCACAAATATATATATTCACCATTCTGTGCAAAAAGAACTCACTGCATCAGCCTCATTCCTAAGCCAATACACCTTTCTGGGGCTGATCCCACCTTCTTCAGGCGCCTGTGCTTTTGGCATCGTCAGCCTCGTTCTATGCCGCCATGACTCAACTCCAGAAAGGTATGAATGCATTTGAGGCTGAGGCGTAGGCGTATTTCTCCCATTTCTGATTCTCCCTGGACTGCACCATGACACAGCGCCCTTTGGCATGGCTTTTGTGGGTTGACTGAAGTTCACACATCAAGTGACTTCTTGCCTCCATCCTTTTTACCACATCTTATGCCACCTGGTCACCATACATTCTGTTCTTAAAACATGGGCGTGAAACATGTGACAGGGAAAAGATTTTATTTTTATAGGCCCTTTGCCCACTCGTGCCTCTTCACACTGCCTGTTTTCTCCTCTCCAGACCGTTAATTTCCCATCCACCCATGGTGAGAGCCTTGTAACCCCACAGGCTTCTCTCTCCTGAGTGGGAGAAGGCTAACATTGGTCAATAAAGAGTTTTTGTTCAACAAAACAAGAACAACAACATATTTTGCAATGTGCTCCTTCATCTTTACCTTCCCTCACTTGTGCTGATTTTCACCCCCATTTAGAGGACACCTCCATCCATTCCTCAGTCTTTAAAAAAAAAAAAATACACATTTTCACACATTTCTCTACTCTTTAATATAATGACAAGGAAGAACAAAAGAGCAAAAACTTCCCCTTTATCATGTAAATTATCCAGAAGTGGGGCAGGATATTTTTATGGAAATGCCAAGGTGGGCCCACCTTTCCTTTGAGCCTGGGACAAGCAAGACTCTCTAAGGGGTTGGGGGTGGAGGCAGACTCTTCCCCCAAGGGAACCTCTGTGCAGTGACAGGGATGGGCATAGAAACCAGTAACATGCAGGGAGAGGTCCAGCTCTACTGGTAAACTTTTATATCACTCCAGACATGTCTGGAATATCTGAGGAGCAAAAAAAAGAGGTTCTTAACCTGCCAGGGGACTGAGAGGACCAGCGAACTTGGGGGAAGTAAGGCTTACCCATTGCCCTAAAAGAAGAGAAAGTAGGTGTATATGCCTTTGAGTAGCCCTCCCCAGGCAACAGAGATAAAACAGTTGCCTCAAAATACCTAGCTGTCAATGCTCCTAATACGTATGTATATATGTTTATACGTGTACATGTCTTGTGTTCGAAATGATTTCAAGAACCTTAAAATATTTTTAAAAAGAACCTTGAAATATTAATCTGAATGTAAACCAGTAGCCTACAAATGAATAAAGATTACAAATGGAGAGAAAAGCAGACTTTGGTCTCATGCCCTGATTTGAAGATAAACTGATGTGGCACTAAGAAAAATTATTTTCTTTTAATTCAATCTTGCAAAGATTATTTAATTACCAAGCTAATACTTGAAGTTCTATAAAGAATATCAAGAAAATCTGCAATCCATTTGTCAGTCTGCTATATCACCTACTATCTAAATAAGAAATGTCACCATCTTCAGCCTGTTGGCAGGCCACACAAATGCTACTGTCCCTTAAACAAAGTTTTTTATGCTTCAGGCTAGACTGAGGAATATAATGTCCATTAGATACTACCTATATGTGAGAGTACAGGGAGAGATTATATGATATTATGCTATATCATATTCAGCATAAAAAAGACTGAGAAAAGAATGTCAATTCTTTCATGATACACTTTCAGATATTCATAAATGACACTTATTCAACGAAAAGCAATCTAGTAGTGTATGTGGAGGTGGGAAGAAACTCAGACACCAAAATGAAAGAAAACAAACTCATGTGCTTTTAGGCATATAGTAGGTACTCAGTAAATATTTATGAATGAGTAAATCAACGTGAAGAGTATTTAATAACATTAATTTAGTCAGTGGGTGGCATCCATAGAGAAACAAAATATTCTGTTGAACTACATAGCCAACTTTGTTTATGGTGTTTCTTTAATATTTGCCCAGATTGGTGTGTGTGAGAGGCTGTCTCTGTATCTAAGGCAGAGAGAACCCCCAAAACAATATAAAAGAAACTCACTACTTGAATTTTGGTTTTCTAAAAAATATTTAAAATATTACATCCTCATCCCAGTCTGGGAGAAAAATGCTTGTTTCACTCGATACCAATGGATGAGTACATGAAGCTTGGGTAGGTTGCATCTTAAACAGGAGCTAATGCCAGATTTAATAGTCATTTTTTAATAAATAATTTCTTATAACAATTATAAGAAATGAAAAATATGTGTGAAATTGGCAGATTTTCATGGCATTTAAAACATGAGCCAATGTCCTTAAATATCTAGGTATCAGAATTTCAACTGGAATTGGCCAAAATTTTCCTCCAGATCAATCTATGATGCTTTCCCTAACATCCTACTGAAGGATGAATTTGGCAATATTTGGCTCACTTTTCAAAACCATGATTTTAAGAAAATTATGCATAGATTTTTTTAATGCACAAATCAACATATTTTTGTGTTTAAGTTTACTTAGTAAAACTGAGTCTGTTCCTTTCTTTTTTAACTCCTAAACATACTGAGCATTTAATACTGATGAAGCATATACAATTGTAAAGTCAATGTAAGATGCTTCTTGATATCCAAAATAAAGCATTTTAATCTCCCTCTGACTTCCATACAGGGATCCTGCACTCTAGAACTCCTATGTGAGAATATTGCCCATATTATTAAACAATGCCAGTCAGCATCCTGATTAGGTGGAAAATGTTTCCAAAGTTAATAATTATTTCTTTATTTTTAATTTTTAAAAATGTGTTAATTAGTTTGGCTCAGGCGGAATAACCCAAAAATACACTCAGTTTTCATTTTAAATTGTTGAAATGTTGTTGTTTGAGGGTTATTTCTCAACACGTCAATACATACTTCACATCACACTAAATGGGCTTTTCTCCATGCTAATAATCAGAGCAAAAGAATTTTCTTATTGTACTTAAAAACTTCCGTGATTAATGCTGGTTTGAGTTACAAAACTAATAAAAATAATGGTAAGAAGTATGTCTAATTAATTATAAGTATAAATAACTTTTTTGAAGGAAAGAGATGAAGAATTAAAAAGAAGGAATAAATAGTCTTTCTTACATCATTGGGCTATATCCTTGTGGTCCTCTCTTCCTGAGTTAGAGGTCATTTTTGGCCACATGTACCATAATGTTTAAATGTCCTTTGATTCTGCTTTCACTGTACAGACATCAGTCCAAATAAATAATATGACATGTAGAAAAAGATTTCTGTACAAGGATACTCATCTCACCATTATTAATTACTTTTATTTGCAAAATTCAGGAAATAGTCCAACATTAGGGGAACCAGTAAGTAAATTAATGTAGCTTCCAAATATGGTCTATTGTAAAGTCATTAAAAATGGTATTTTCAAAGAAATCTTACAAGTGAGAAAAAGTTCCCCTTCTAAGTTTTGAGTGAAAATTTTTGATTATATAACTACATTTAGGAAAAAAATATTAAAAAAGAAACCTGCAAATACACATTCCAAAATATTAACAGTCACTGTTTTCTTACCTTCTTTAATTTTTTTAATTTATCCAGCTTCTATAGTAATCTATATTATTACTTGTAAAAAAATATTTATTATTTTGTTTTAACTATAATTTTACTCATAATAGAGTAATATTTATTAATTTGTGAAAAGAATTTTAAAAGAAATTCTGCTCTATCAATTTGGAAAACCAATTTTCTTTGAGCTATCTAAGCTCCGTATAGCAACTGAGTTGTGAATTTTCTGAATTGCTCTCCATAAATTTACCAAGTCATAAATAAATCCCTTAGAGAGATAAAATTAAATGTGGAAAATAACTTGCTTTCTCCAAATATATTTAAAGCTCTTTAGGAGAAAAAAAAAATCTAGAATAATAATATTATTATTATTTCTGATTTACTCAAATGCTACATCTTCCACACAGGGTCTCTGTTCCTCCCACCGGGAAGTGATTCCCCCATTTCTCTCTCCTGATCTCCTTTAGTTCCTTTAGTCTTTACCCTGAGTGCCTTGTACATGCCATTTGCCTACAGAGGACTTGTAAGCTCTTTGAGTTCAGAAGTCATGGTTAATCCTCTTAGCAGTAGCCAGGAGGCAGTCATTATATGTTGATTAAACAAATGAAGTGAATTTATTATGAAAGCATTCCTAATGAGATTGATGTATTTTGGTGTCTCAGGTCCAGAGCTTTGAGGAAGAGACTGGTAATCCTCCTGACTTGACATCAGGAATTACAGGTAAGATTTAGCACTGTGTGCAAAGTCATCAATGGCCTTTCAGAAAGAGAATGTAAATAACTAGTACTCAACTTTCTTAATATGTAGAGTTTAAATAATCTTCAGAAAATGGCATGGCTTCTACTACTGTTATTTACTGCCATTATTATTTCTACCTACTACTATTGAAAACCTACTAGCAATGCCAATGTACATGTAAATTTCAAACGACTTACTACAGACACATCCCACAGCCCTGGGGCTGATGCAATATGCAGTTTTCTCAGATTAGCTCTGTGTGATTTGATCAAGAGAGCGGAAGGGATTCCACATAGGACTGGGACTAACTGAGTGAATACTTTCTAACTTCTACTGACAACTGCTCGATGTGTCAAAAATCATATCATTGTACTGGCCCTTAGGGAAGTGGAGGTAATTTTTTAAGTTCTCTGCTTGCCCTTACATTCTAAATTAAGTGATGGTAGGACCTTCCTATTAACTCTCTGTGGAAAAAAGTAGCCTGGATGTCACTTTCCAAATAATCTCTCAGAATCCTGTTATAGAATCCTAGACAGCGGAGAAGGAGGGCTTTCTCTACTCCTCATTCTTATGCTTCCATTCAGCCATCATTGTGATTCAGCATTTCCATGATCCTATAACAGAGCTAAAAGTAGACAGGGATTAGTGAAGCAAAATAAAGCAGATGAAGCTAGTGCATTTCCTGGAAGAAAATATGCAAATTTTTAATTTAATTTAGTGTGGTGTCAAACACATCTTTTTCATTACGAAGTGTATGTATGGGCCTCATTTTGCTAAATGCTGTTTAGAAATTATGCATTAGTAATTATAGGGTCCTGCTGATTACATAAATTGTTATCCTGCTCTTCGAAGTAATTACCACATAACCTGCATTGAGGTTTATAAGACAAAAATAAGCATCTGTTTTCCATCTAATTGAATGCTTCTCAATGAAGCTGGAGGTCCCTGTGCCAATAGGAGCTTCCTTCCTTGACATGCAATTAAGAGGTCTGCTGATATCATGTAAGTCTCCCCAATCATTCCAAAAAATGATTTGGGAAGTTAGGCAAAAGCACTAGCCTACATTTAATTTCAAATTCAGAGAGCGAAGTAAAATGGGTGAAGGTTAGCCCAGTGGAGAAAATCTAAACTAAAGTAAAGCAAATACAATTTATTACTTTCAAAAACAGTGTCATTAACCCAAGAAAAATTAGGACAGGGAAAAAATTTTTTGTTATTTCTCTTAATGGGAAAAAGAGAAAAGGATTACTTTTATGTATATATGTATAAATGAATGAATGAATTCATTATATATATGAACCAACTATATATGTGAATGAATTTGTATATGTATCTGTATATGAATATCAAGGAATGAATTTTGACTCAAAGTTAAAAAAGATGACTTCTTTCAAAAATGATAGTACATGGACTATTTTGACCAATAGGATATAGCAGAAGTGATACTGTGTTATGTCTAGAGTGTAGCCCTTAACCCACCTGGCTTGGTTCCTGGCTCTTGAGATACTTGCTCTGGAACATTTCCTCTGGGAACCCAGCCTTCATGTCGTGAAAATCCCAAACCACATGGGAATGTCCACTGTGGTAGACACCCTTGACTGAACCTCTGTGTGAGGCAACCTAGATGTTCAACCCAGTCAAACTTTCAGATGACCATCTCCCCCACCAGATGTCATCTATCTGCCACCACATGAGACAATCCAATAACCACACAGCTGAGCTGAGTCAACCCGAAGAACCATGACAAATAATCATAACTGTGGTTCTAGGTCACAAGTATTTCAAGTTTAGTAGTACCAAGAGATAGTAAAAATGTGAAACAAACCTACCCATTGTTGGTTGTCAGTTAAAATCATAATAATTACTCGAAGTATACTCTGTCAATGTCACATAATTGTAAATGTATGCAACTATTCCAGTTCTGCAGTTTGAGCCATCTGTAGACCCCAGTGTATACACAAGGATTTTGACTGCAAAAATATATTTATAATAACAAACAGCTAGAAGCAGCCTACTGACCCAAAAGTATAAATTAGCTTTAAGTAATTATGGTACATTTTTACATTAAAATCTACTCAGACTTCACTTTGAAAAATAAAGCAGATATTTATGTGTTGAGGTCTCTGAGATATACAGTTGTTAAATGAGAAAAAAATGTGCAAAATATTTTATAGAGACACCTCTTTTTATTAAAAAAGTTACTTATTTCTACTGAGGGAAGAAAGTATGCACAGAATGCTTCTGGAAGAATATATAAGGAACTGCTAATAGAAGTGACTTAACAGAAGGGAAACTAACATGTTTTAAATTAATTCGCATCTTTTAATTTTCTTTTGTTATCATGTGCATATGTTATTTTCATAACACTATTTAGCAAAAAATTCTGGTAATACTATAGGAAATTGACACAATAAAAATGGGAGATTTTGTTGTTACTAAATCTCTGCTCCCCATGACAACCAGTCCAAAACTTTTGGACACTTCTTATTTTTTAATTTTTAAATAAATATTGTGTGTATTTGAGGTATGAAACATGATGATTCAATGTACATATGCATATTGAAATGATTACCGTAATCAAGCTACTTAGCATATCATCTCTTCACACAGTTTCCATTTTGTGTGTGTGGTAAGTACACCTGAAATCTACTCTTTCAGCAAATTTTCAATATTAAATACAGTATTATTGACTATAGTCACCAGGTACCTTAGACCCCTAGATTTATCCATCGTACATAATTGTAACTTTGTATCCTTTGACCAACATCTCTTCCAAAATTGAAAGATTTTCATATTCCCCTCAGTTTTCTGCAGACCAAACATGATATAGTAAAAGTGACAGATAATGTATTAATATTATAATTGATAACATGAGTATAATAGAAAATATTGAAACAAGTGTTCTTTCTCAGTGTTCTTGGTATATTTTATTAAAAGAGCTAACAATTTATAAACACAAAGATTATCTCATTGATTCCTTACATATGCCCATATTATGTATAGGCCACCTTAACATGGATAAATGCAGTAATATTTTAATTCAAAAATAAAAATATAAGTAACACTTCCTCCTCCTAACAAAACAAAACACTAAATCCAGAACTTGGGGACTGAGTTCTCCATCCTACAAAGAGTGCAGAAGTTGCTCATTTAGAACTATAAGTTCAGATCATTTCAATAATAATGATGAATGTTTCATATAAAATTGAAGAACTGGAACAGAAGCAGTAATCTGAGGCAAATTCATAGCATTAATTGCTTTCATTATCAAACAAGTAAAAACTAAAATTAATTACTTGGATCACGAAATCATCATAAAAACAATAAAATAAACATAATTAGAAGTTAGAAGTTAATAAGCCAGAAATTAATCATGTAGAAATCAGAAAAAAAAAAAATTTGGTAAGTAAAATCAAGCACTAGTTTTTTTGTGTGGGGAATAAAAACAATAGAAGCTGTCAAACAACAGAAGAGAGAAAGGTGTGCAAACAAAATTAGATAAGACAAAATTAGAGAAAAGACAGAACCACAGATATAGAAAAGAAGTTATATATATGCAAAACCATGTTTAAATTTTAAAGGAATACTAATACCAATACAAGTGGTATAATTAAAATCAGGGATAATTAATATGGATGATATTTTAGAAAATGTATGTATTTATACTACCAAATTTTATACTGGTATTATGTTGTCAATATTTGTATATACATATCTATTTTAAAACAAAAAATTAACAAAGTAACATAATATAACTGTTAAGTAAACTAATACCAGAAAAGGGGGGAAAACAAACAAAACTTGAGTTTACCAAAAACTCTCTCTAAGAACAGCAATGAATAATGCCAAAATAAAACCAAAACAGTTACATGGGTAGACTCTCAGTTTTTCAAGAGATAATTGCCCTTCTTTATAAATCTTCCAGACAATGTAAACATTCATAAATCTTTCCAGTTCCTTTTAGATTAAAAACAAAACAAAACAAAATTTTGATTTCAAAATTGACTAAGATAGCTCAGAAAATTGATCATTTTTACTTATGAATACAGATATAAACATTTTTCAATAAAGTAATGAGGATTTAAATGCAGTAAAACAGGGGTGCCTGGGTGGCTCAGTGGCTTAAAGCCTCTGCCTTTGGCTCAGGTCACGATCCCAGCATCCTGCCCCACATTGGGGTCTTTGCTCGGCAGGGAGGCTGCTTCCTCCTCTCTCTCTCTTTGCCTGCCTCTCTGCCTAATTGTGATCTCTGTCTGTCAAATAAATTTAAAAAAAAATCTTTAAATGCAGTAAAACATTAAAAGTACACTAATCCTTGAAAACTAGCTTTCATTTGAAGATTTCAGTGTTTCAAAAATTGAAAAACTAATTTATCAACTACAATGATAAATTATTAGAGGAAATAAATGATATGATCAATTTGATAGCTTATGAAAAATATATGTGTACTTACAAAATATTTCACTGTTTACCAACAGAAATTTAGATGAATGAAATTTCATATAGACAACTAAATGCAAAAAACACACTCAAATTATCACAGGGCTAAAAATATAAATGCAGATGAATTGTATATGATTTTGGAATAGGAAACTATTTTTAAAATGTGGCTTAAAATGCAATATCTAATTAAATTAATCAGTTTTCACTACCTAACATTGAACATCTATGCATGAAAAACAATCATAAAAAATTTAAAGGTAAATGACAAGCTGAGAGTGTACTTTCATCATAAACAATAAAGGATGAACAAAAACTCTTTGCAAGTAGAAATAGAAGGAAATTTTCTTACTTTAAGTGGTGTCTATTAAATCTTGATAGCAAGTATCAATCCTAACAACGAAACCTTCAAGGAAATCCTATTCAACCAAAAAAAAAATCTGTTGACACTCTTTTTATTCAGCATCAAACTAAAGGTCAAAGCAGAACTACAACACCATGAAAGTAAGGTGTAAGTAAACTTAAAAACTGTGCATGGGGCA